AAAAAAAAAAAAAAAAAAAAAGCTCATGTACACCAATGTATAACTAATAAGTAATCAAAGTTTCAAATTCAAATCGGGAATAGGGGTCGAGGATGGTCCATCCGCATCCCTATGGACCTGCCGGAAGCTCCCAGGCCACGTGAGCTCCTCCTCCTCCTCCTCATACTCCACAAACACGGCCGGCAATGGCATCCTCGGCCGCTCCACGAACCTAGGCGCATGAACCGACCTGTCCTGCTGCTGATGGTGGTGTTGGGTGTGGGCCCCGTGGGCCTCGATCCCAAGGAGGGGAAGGGACGCCAGGCTAGCGTATCGGTTGGAGAACATTGCCATGCGAACGGCGCGCTTGGAAAGGGTTCGTTCGCGCTTGTGCGCGTTCTGATGGCCCCCGAGCGCCTGCGAGCTGTAGAACTTGCGCCTGCAGTAGTTGCACGAGAACACGCGCACCGGGCTGTTGTTGTTGATGCCCAGGCTGAGGTCCAGCTCAACTGTCGAAACTTTTTCTTCCGAATTATTAACGCCCTCCATCTAAACAAACCAAATGTGTTTTCACATACTCCATAAACATTATATACTTCCCACAAACAATGTACAAGTGAAGAACAAAATGAATTCCAACAAAAACATACAACAGTATCAGAAATATTAAATTCATGATAACTTATTTTAACACTTGTGGCAGTGTGTAGTTGCCTCAAGTGATCTCAACTCTCATACCAACTATGGCTGATAAAGAGCACATAACAACACACAATTACACACAATTATAGGCATAATTTTAAAATTGATCCTATAATTTGGCCACTTTACAAAAAACCGAGAAAATTGCAATTGTAGTCCAACAACTTAGGTTGTTTCCCATTTTAGTCCACTAACTTAGGCCGATCCAAATTTGGTCCAAAAACTCCCAAAAGTTAGTAAAATCAGTCCAATTGGACTAAAATTGGACTGAAATTGACCAATCAATTGGACTGAAATTGGACTGATTTAACTAACTTTTGAGAGTTTTTGGACCAAATTCGGATCGGCCTAAGTTAGTGGACTAAAATGGGAAACAACCTAAATTTTTGGACTAACTTTTGAGAGTTTTTGGACCAAATTTGGATCGGCCTAAGTTAGTGGACTAAAATGGGAAACAACCTAAGTTACTGGACTAAAATTGCAATTTTCTCCAAAAAACCACACCGCCATTGGCCACTTTCATTCTTGGTCTTATAAATTGTCCATTTAATCAAATTTGATCATTTTCTAATCAAATTTGGTTCTATAATTTGACATTTTGGTCCTTTTGTAATCTCATTTTAATCCATATTCTGGATAAAAATGACCAAATTTGATTATAATGTCAAATTATAAGACCAAGTTTGAAAGTGACCAATGGGGGTGGTTTTTTGGAAAGTGGTCAAATTATAGGACCAATTTTGAAATTATGTCCACAATTATATATACTCCAACAATGGACCTGCTGCTTAATTTTATAGGAGTAGAAACAAATTGGATTACAATACATCCTTACAAGAATTCTAATAAAAATTTTCAAGCTTATTACACTCAGATTTATTTTGGACACAACCCATTAGTTTACCTTTAGATTCACATTACCCAAAGTCTATGTCAAGCAAAACCAAGAAATACAATTAAAAAAAAAAAAAAAGAATCATGTAAAAAACAGCACACTAGAAGAGACTTTGCAACAGTAAAATACACACTGTGAAAAGCTCAATTAATTGTAAAGATTCCACCAACCAAGCAATCTGATCAGATCATTAGAATTAACTTTTACTGTTAATCTTAGAACCTACCACCCTTTAAGCAACAAAAGACAGAGAAACAACCAGCAGATTCATAATGAATCGAACTAGACAGCAACCTTTTCATCAGTATATTTGGAGGAACACAAGTGAATGATGTTATATAGTACACAAGGGTGGGCAAGAAATAAACCCCATTAAAAATAACACTCAGAAAAAGAAATTAAAAACCAGAAAAAGCTGCAAAACTAGTAGTAGCTAGGGGCTAGAAAGAAAAATGGGCTTGAGAGAAAAAAAAAAAAAA